GTCTGGCGGGTGAGATCAGTTCAGGGCCCAGCGATCATCTCTGTTCTAGACTTTTACTGCAAAAGAGTCTTAGTCAAAACAAATCTGGAAAAGCTCTCAAGGGTATCAAATGTTGTTATAATGCTTGCAAGATCAGCGTGGACATGCCATCTTTGGCAATCAAGTATAACAGTAGTGTGACCAGCTTGCGCTGCGCTCAAGGTGATGCATTTAAAGGTGCACAAAGACTCAAGAAAACTTGAAGCTTCCTTTGATTTTTCCTTATACAAAGGCTGCTAACAGCCAGTGAGGCTGTTTCTGCCAAGACTTATTTGCTTGAGCATAAGCTTGCATGGCTCCTTAGGCTTGCTGGCCCCTTGCCTCAGAGGAGAAGTGCTGATGGTGCAACCAGTGGTGGATGTGGGATTCCCTATTGGGCTCTCTCCTTCCAGGCAAAGTAATAACCAAGTTCACGGGCTGCAAAAAGAAACCTGTGCCATCACCTCTAACTTTTGTGAGCAAGGCTGAAGTGCTAGCAGAGGAGATGCAGTGTTTATCTCTTGAGAATACTGTTCTGTTTCCATGGCAGTAGACAGCTCAGTCCAGATTTGGGCAATCTTGTCTGCAGAAAAAAAAAAAAAAGTCAGAGAGAAAAACTTGACTGCAACTGAATGGAAGCAGTCAAAATTAATCAAGCTTGCATACAGTGAGACTGGATCTGCTGTATGAGACTGCAGACGCTGAAGAAACCTCTGCTTCCTGCACAGAAACGGCATCAGATGTAAGATCTGCCTGCCTCAGTCACTGAGACTGTGTGTGAGACTTCTGCCACTTGCATCCCAGGGATTTTCTTCTGACAGATGAACTGTAACTGCTCATGATGAGAGAACAAAACCATTGCAAAACATAATTGTTACTCCTTGGATCAATAGTGGAGAATTAATCATTATTAAAAAAATCAGTGATCAATGAAAATGGATGCTCCTCCAGCAATGCCTGAAAGATCACCAGTGCACACGTCCTTAGAAGAGAACTTGTTAAAGCAGATCCCTTGTCTTGTTGGAGTAGATAAAGTGGGGTCTCTTATTAAACATTAATGAAATTAATGGAGTTGGTTAGTCACAGAAAGGAGGAAAATGATAGATGAGGTGGATTTCTAGTTCAGCTGTGATGGAACAAAAAAAACTGGGTGGAGCAACGCTGGAGCTGTCTGAAAATGGTTGTGGTTCTTTTGTGTGTTTCCATTGATTTTGATGTCATCTGAAGGAGAGTTTGTTGACTTCCTCAGATAAATCACCATCTTATGCTGGTTCTATATCAGATTTGAATTGATTTCAGGAGAAGATCCCTTAAAATCACCATTAAATGAAACATAAAACCGCTCCTAAATTACTTTAGTAAGTGGTTCTATTCTTTTGGAAACATGGGCTAGCTGTTCAATGACAGCTGGAATATTGATTAATGGTAAGTGGAGTGTGCATTGCAATGGGAGCTGGGTGTGATGAAGATCTGGAGCTGCACAACGTAGAATGTGCCAATCCCAGCTCAGTGGGCATGTCGCTTCCCAACACCCCTCTTTTGGAAAGAGAAACCAAAAGCCTATTTTAACATATGGAAAGCTATGGATTTTGCCACTCACTCCCCACCCTACTTGTGCTATGCAATACTAATCTGGCAGTGCAGTTAGCACACACCTGTGTTTCCAACACGTGCTGTGGCTTCTCAGTAGACCCCAGACTTGAGTCCTCTACTTTTTCTTTCTTTAATATATATAAGAGGAATTCTTCCAGTTTTTTGTTTTCCAGTGAGTGACACCCCATTCACCAGGATGGCACAAAGAGCTGAAGATCTGTGATGGCAGAAGGTGGGTGGAACACTTCTGTGTACGTGCACTGGCCCATACTGGGGACTTCTGCCTGCTCCAGGGGGACTGTTGGAGAGCACGAACACTTCCACATTTTGCTCATCTCATCCAATCTCAGTTGCTTTTTTGGATCATTTTCTACAAGGAGACCTATTTTCACCAATTCCATGGTATTGATCAAACCACATTTACATTTCTACTGCATTGACTAAAAATGCAGTTGTGCTCTAGAAATGAAAAATGATGACATCTTCCTGCTGGCTCTGCTTCTAGCCTTGTGCGGTTTAATTACCCCATGGCTTCTAACAGTTGTATTTTACAGACATTTACTTAATCCAAGACTTTTTTTTTGTCCCCAAATTCCGAATGGTGATTCTGATTTATCACCAGTGCACTTCAGTACAATGTGGCTGTCACGTTGCACAAGTTCTGGAATGAATTAGTACATGCAAACAGTGAGAATGATTATAAATAATAGGGAGAATGGAAAAACAAGCAAAAGAAATAAGTGGAACCTTAATAACATGCTAATGATGGCAAATATTTAAAATAATTACTTGCTTATTTAATCATCAACTAACCTGATATAAATTGATCATATTTTGGCTGTTGCTCTATCTTCATTGTAATTCTCAATTATAAAATTGATTTCTTCATTCTCCAATTAGAACATCGTATGAAAAATAAGAGATGGTGCCCACACCAGAGAAAGTCAGAGGCTTCTGCCTTGTGTTTCACCCCAGAAGGCAGCTGGGAAGGTTAGCTGCCTCTAGTCAACTGAGCTCCTATGGAGGGGTGGGTGAATCTAGAGTGTGGCTTTCTTCATCAGATCTGCTTTTCTTTTCTGCCTTGTCCTTTCTCCCATTTATTTCATTTAGACAGCTGCTCATTCAATGACTTTGCACTGCAGTACTCAAGCTTGCAAGAAGAATATAGCTTCTAGTAGCTAAAATGCTCATCATCTAATAGCATCTGATGTCACTGCTTTCTCAGTTAAAGCAATCCCATAGGAACCCTCCTACCCAGTAGGGAAAATTGGTTGTGTACTGCTCAGTGTCACTCAGTTCTTCATGGAAAGTTCACAGTCCTAAGCTACAGAAATGTTCCCACTAAACTTTTACCTGAAAATGTTTGACAGTCTGTGGATAGGTTTAATTTGTTTTGTTTGTTTGCAGACATGTTTCATGGTAAGTCTAACCTGGCAGGCACGCTTCTCTCGTACTTATGTCTAATTTGTTTCTGCTTCTGTTGCAAAATGGTGGTGCCAAAATTCTGTGTCAAAATTCTGTGGGGGGTGAAATTAATTCATAACTGCTAATTCTCCCACCTATGTTGAATATTGTCTGCATGTTTGCTGGTATCACTTAAAACACTGGCTCTGGGAACTCAATGTCTGACATAATTTCATCCTTCATTGAGAAATGTGCCGCATGCTGGAAACACAGGGAAGAGTGACACAGAGAAATGAAAAGCATTATATTTAGAAACAGAGATTGTAGGATACAGATGCTTTGACTTGACTGATGGAATGTTACGCTAGAGAAGAGACCATTCTTGTCTTACCAGTTAGAAAAATTATTTCTGTGGCTTATTCTTTCCCACAAGTAAACCCCCCCCCCCCCGTTCTATCTTAAGGAAGTCTGAAGCATAAGCTAATTTCTCGTAACACGGGCCTTCCTCATGGTATCTGCGTTATGGGGTACAACAGTAAAACTCTGCTTGTGAGATGCCATCCCTGTTAGTCCCTGTAGTGGTGGCTGGTCCTTGTGAAGGAGACCTTAGGCCGGATCCCGACATGGACATGGGCTCTGGGTGGCAGTGGCAGCCAAGGGGCCATCCCAGCACTTGCACTGATACAGCCTGCCTAGTGCTCTGGCAGCTGCTGCCACCCCATGGCTTTCCATGAGGGATGAATGCTGCAGTGCTCCAATGTGTTGCATTTCTCCAGAAACCTCTCTTAGGTCAGAGGGAAGATGATGAATATTCATTTTGCTCTGCCCTCCCCTGTGTCCCCTTTCTCACAAATCCCCTCTGCAAAGAGAAGCAAGCACTGCTCTGGTTTAAGATGGGTGAGTGCTTTCCACTGGATTTCCAACTCTATAACTGAATATTAATTTTGGCTCTCAGGAGTTTTCATTGACTGACTTTATCTACCTTGGCAGGAAATATTCCAGGTTTTTTTTTTTTTTTTTTTTTAAGAACTTCAAAACCTACATCAGCAACATGCTTTTGAAACTCATTTCTGAAAGTTGCTGCTGCTCTGGGTGGCTGTATTTACATCACGGATGCCCCACAGAGACAGATCTGGGTTAGGGCAATGTGGTCAAAGCACGGTGTCCTCCGAGCAACGCGGCCAGCAGAGCTCTGCCCCCCTAAGTCAGCAGCGTCCAGCCAGAGTCTCTGACATGGAGGGGGACACTTCAGACAGCCTCATCCCGTTTGTTACCCCGCCTTGTGCCAGCAGTGCCCTGTGTGAGGAGGAAGAACTTTTTCCCGAGGAAGCACTATGAGGAATCGCCTCTCGCTTTGCCTGGCAGGCAGAGCCTCTAGGGCTGAAAGCCTCTCTTTTCAGCCTGAGTCTGAATGCCTACTTCCCTTTGACTAACTTCAGTAGAGAGCAAAAAGGAATATAAAAAGGAATGCTGTATGAAACAGTTCAGCCTCCTTGGAGGCAGCGAGCTTGGCACAGGCACGGACAGGGTCCAACTCGCTCCCCTGGTACATTACAGGAGCTCTCACCTTCGGTCTGTCCCCCTTCCCCCCTCCCTCAGCACACGGAGGACGGGGTGTACCGATGCGTACACCCGCAGCCACCCGCCCATCCCTCCGCGCTGCTTTCCCGAAGCAGACCCGCACACGGCGGCGGGGCCGAAGGCTGTGGGGGGCGGCGCTGCCCCCGCCGCGGGAGGAGCTTCGGCCCCGGCCGCGATTTGGCTCTCGTTCGGCTCCCCGCGCACGGTGCCGGAGCGGCGCGGCCTCAGGTGTCCGCCCGCGGTGCGCCATGGCCGCGGGGTTCCCACGAGGGCGGCCGGAGCCGCCTCTCCGTCCGCCGGAGTTGAGCGCGGGGGGAGGCGGCGCGGCCACCTGAACGCGGAGCAATACAACAAGTAGCTCTCGCTCAGCCGCCGACGCCCGAGACGAGGAGCCGCCGCCGGGCCGCCGGTCCAGGTACTGAGGGGCGGGGGCCGGGAGCAGCCCTTCCCCGACTCTCCCCACCGCGGGCGCGTCTGCGAGGCAGCGACCTCCGCCCTGCCTGCTGCTGCCGGGGCTCGCGTCCCCTCGCACGCGGCTATTCCCCTCTCAGGGTTCGAGGCGGGGGGAAGAGACGCGGATCTCCCACGTCTCTTTGTGTGCTTAGTCTATAGGCGCCGTTCGGTACGGGCTGCCCGAGCTCCGTGCCATCGGCTCGAGGAGGAGCGGAGCCGTTGGGGGCGGCGGGAGGCAGAGCTCGGCGCGGGGACATCGCGCCGGGAAACGGGGTGGGACGGAGGCGGCCGGGATAGGCGGGGAATGGCGCGAGGATGCCGGGGGGGCTTCTCCTTCATTCCTTCTCTCTGTCCGCGCTGAAGGCAGAAGCTCGTCCCGCTCCTCCGCCCCGCGCCGCCCCAGTCATGTCCCACCCGGAGCGATGGGGAAGCTCGAGGACAACGAGAGGGTGATCCTCAACGTGGGGGGCACGCGGCACGAGACCTACCGCAGCACCCTGAAGACCCTGCCGGGCACCCGCCTGGCCCTGCTCGCCGCCGAGTCGCAGGGCGAGTCTCCGGGCGCCGAGGAGCCGCCTCCGCCGCCCCCCAACGCGGCCCCGCCGGCGGGCGGCTGCCCCGAACCCGGCAGCGGCTGCAGCCCGCGGGGCGGCGGCGGGGCCAGCGAATTCTTTTTCGACCGCCACCCGGGGGTCTTCGCCTATGTGCTCAACTACTACCGCACCGGCAAGCTGCACTGCCCCGCCGACGTGTGCGGGCCGCTCTTCGAGGAGGAGCTGGCGTTCTGGGGCATCGACGAGACCGACGTGGAGCCCTGCTGCTGGATGACCTACCGGCAGCACCGCGACGCCGAGGAAGCGCTCGACATCTTCGAGGCGCCCGATCTGCTGACGGGCGAGCCGCCTCCCGACGGCGACGACGACGACATGGCGGCCAAGCGGCTGGGCATCGAGGACGTGGCGGCGGCCGCCGAGGGCAAGGGTGGGCGCTGGAGGCGGCTGCAGCCCCGCGTCTGGGCGCTCTTCGAGGACCCCTACTCCTCCCGGGCCGCCAGGGTAAGCGCCCACCGACGGCGCTCCCGGGAGATGCGTCGTCACGTCTGGGTGATGGCGGTGGTGGTGCCTCGGGAGCCTCGGGAGCCTCGGGGTGCTGGCAGCGTGGGGCGTCTTGGTGGAGGTCAGCCTCCACGGGGTGGGCTGTCGAGTGGTGCCGTGGTGGGATGCTGTGAGGTGTGACACCGGCCCCTCTGGGCTGAGCTGTGCCTGCTGTCCTGGTCTCAGTGGAGATGTGGGAGTGCTACTGACTGGAGGACCACGTTGTGTGCCAGTGGGCTCTAAGTGCCCGTTCTGGGGGCATGCAAGGCTGTGTAGGCACCATGTGCTCTGGCTTTCAGGGAAGTGTTGGGTTGTATGAGGTGGTGGCTGCCCACAGCCCTTCCAGGAGGGCTCTGCTGGCAGCTCCTGCTCGGTGCTCCTGTCCTGCTGAGCTTTGTGGGACCCAGTGACAGGGCATCCACCTGCCCTCTGCCTGTCAGGGTAGCCCTCATAGCTCTGCAGCTGAGGGCTGTGAGGGAACACTGGTCCTCAGCGAGTTCTTGACAGGTGGCATTTTAGATTTTGGCTCTTTCTTCTGTGCTGGAGCACGGTGCGAGTTTCAGCCCTGACTTGTAGTTACTGCTGTTGGTGGTGATGGGTTTTGCTTTCTAACCTGTGGAACAAGCAAATGGTTGTAACACCTCTGGGAGAAGTATGCAGTGATGCCTTGAACTCAGCTGTGGGAACAGCACCCAGCAGTGAGTCCTGCCTGCAGCACATGAGAAAGAGCTCGTGGTTGAAATGGGTTTGGATTTAAAGCTGCAGGAAGCATTTCACAGTGCTTTCACTGTGAAGAACCCAGACCTCATCCTGTGTCAGCGATCAGTACTGTCCCCAACAGTGCCACTGGAGTCACCACAGCCTGACAGAGAGTGGGGTGTCAGGGGGTGCTGAACTCCAGCTGGTACCCCAATTGTCTCTAGAGCAGGCTGTGTTCAGAATACACATTGGTAGTGTTTGTATTGTTGCTCACTAAGGACACACACGCAGCTCACATCTTGGCTGCCCGAACTCAGCAGAGTTCAGCTGTCGATACCTGACCTAACAGCAGTGCGGTGTTCCCCACCGCTCCTGGAGAAGCTGCTGACAGCAGCAGATCTGCAGCTTTTATGGCACGGAGCCTTTCACTGAACTTTGTGGAGTGCTGGCAATGATCATCTATTAGAGAAGATATTTAGCTTCGTAAAGTTAGAAGGGGGTTTAAAGTAATATGTTCTGATTTCAGCCACGGGCAGGCAGAGCGAGGCAATGCCAGAGCTGCAGCTCCAAGTTCTGGTTCTGTTCAGCGCTGCTGCTCTGTGCAGTCATTTCCCCTGCACCCCCCCCACTCAGGCAGGCTGCTTGGATTGCTGCTGGCAACTTGGAAGCATGGGGCACCTCTGTGCCTCGGGGCCAGCATACGCCTGCACCCACACCCCAATGTGTGGCAGTTTGGGTGGTGGTACACCCAGCTGGGAGCTGAACTGCTATTGTCAGTTCAGTATTTCCCCGCACCTGAGATAGACACTTTGTTTTCTGAGTATTCTGGCAAACGCAGCGTTGTTGTGTATCAGCTGAAATGATGACTAACTCTAAAAATATTTGGGTGAGATCCTTACTGAGCGCAAGAAAAGCTCCGTGAGCATCAATTGTGCCTCGCAGTGCGAGCTCCTGACTCATGCACTGCTGGGATGGTGGTGAGACAGCTTGCTGGTAAACTTTCTTAATGACGGTGGTGATCCGTAGCAGTGCTGCCTGATTGAACTTCCGCACTGTCTGTTCGGAGGAACGTGATGTTGAGAAAAACTGGATGTTGGTTATTAATGGGGTGGCAGTTAATATTTCTGTTTTTCTTTATCCTAAAATGTAGTCTCTAAAAATAGAAATTTATAGAAATTCAAATATAAGTTGCCATGGTAACCTATTGGGGGATAGTACACGCACAGATTATTCTAGCAAGACCATCCAGCGATGTTATATAAACAGTGGAACTCATCTGTTGACAAAAAGGTGTACTGCATTAAGGACTTGAAAAAATCAACTTTAATATATGCAGTTTGATAGTGACATCTGCTAGCCATACTTCTTGTAAATACAAAATGTAATGCGCATTGTATGCATGCGATTGCTTTGAAACCTGCAACACTTTCCTTTGTATCTCAAGTTCAGGAGTTGCGTCTGAATATCGTTTGTTTTCATTTCACCATTTTGGATTTCTCTGTCTGTGGATTGTAAGGAAGGGTGCAGTGGCACTGCTTTTGCTTTGAGCTCCCCGAAACTGCCTCTCACAGATTGCTCTCTGATGGAGCACTGCTGTCTGGACGGAGAGGTCCCAGTGTAAGAGATGCCCTAGCACGAGATGCATTGGGCAGCCAAATCCTCCTGTGTGATGCAGTTCTGTACCCAACTCTTATTGCACGGTGTGTTGTGTGTGTGACTGGTTAACAACGGTGGGGTATTTTGGAGTCTCTGATGGTCCTTGGCTCGTGAGCACAAGGGGCTCTTTATGCTTTAGTAATGTGCAGAGAGACGTCCAAATAGTTTGCAAGGAAGTACGAGAGATGTAATTAGCACTGAGTTTGACAGAGTGTCTGCAGATGCCCGGCGGGACCCGGAATGTCAGCGCCAATCTCAGATACCATATTTCAAATTAATTAAGCTTTTAAGGCCTTTTATTTTTGAATAATAGTTGAAATATGATGCTGTTTAAAGAAATAATTAGTTTCATCATTGATTTTTGTTAAGGATTGTGGATTATTCTTGCATTTAGCACAGGAACTAGAAGCTGCATGGGGACTTGCAGTGTTCATAGCTGTCTGTCTGTCCCCAGGAGCAGCCTGTCTGTCCATGCACAGAGCAGGGATGGGACAGGGATGCCAGGCTCTGTGCTGCTGGAAAAGAGAAGCTCCTGTGTGCGGCTGTACCTGCGATGATGCCTTTGGAGGCTGCTTGCAGTGACACTTCTGGCCTCCAGCACTCAGAGAGGTCAGCTGTGGGAAGGGTTGGCGAAGTGAGGGAGGCAAGCAAGGGAGAGAATGGGGTTAATGTGTCCCCTCAAGGCTTAGAGCCCCAGAAATCATACGGGAAAGCATTCTTAGTGAAGTTAACTTGCATCTTTCTTTGGTGGCTTGTGCACTGTTTTCCAGGTAGGTGGATACATGCTGGGTACCAGGGTGGTTTATGCAAACGGCTTTTATTTTTGGTGGAAGCAGCACTGCTGGGATAGTCTGACAGACACACCATGAATGGAGTGGGGAGGATACAGCCAGCTCAGAGTGTACATCAGTAGTGAAGTGCAGGGCTTACTTGCTTTGTTAAAAACAGAACTGGCATTTAATTTCTAAGTGCAAGTCTTACAAATTTGTGATTTACGAAGATTTTTCTCCTATCTGAAAATGGTTATAGGATTGTATAAAGAAGACGGTAGAGATTACAAAGAAACTAGAAGAGTAGGCTTTCCTCTTGCCATCTTGATAATCAGAGTGTAGTGTTTATTCTTAAGCGGGAAAAGAATCCGTTCATTTACATTGGTTGCTTTTAAAGCAACAGCACCTTTGTGCCTGGGGCAAACATTGTGACGCGTCACTGCTATGGGTATTCGCACGTTCCATGGCTTCATGGGTGCACAGGCTAACTCATAAGTACTTTTCATTAATTCATTTCTGGAATGCTGGCTGTTAAGAGTCTTAATTGCAAGTAGTTGCTTAAGAAGTTACCCGCTCAAGGTAAGCCACTCTGATCTGCATTAAATTTAGATGGTATCTGGTGGCACTGACATAGCGGTGAGGTAAAATCAGAAAGATTTCTGCCTCCCTAACTTCTGCCTTTTTCTCTACAGCTGTTCTGCCTGCTGCTGCTACTGTTTCCATGGAAACAAGCCAGCTCTTGGCTTCCTTTTTCCATTGGAAACAGCCTTCTCTCTGTCACTTATTAATCTCAGAAAAGCATTCTGTCATGGCTCTGACATGAGCGCCACAGAGCTGATCTGCCTGAGCATCTCAGGAATGGATGCAGGTCCGTATGCACCCATGCACGTAGACAGATTATCCTCTGACTTAAAATAATTCGGTTGATGGACTTGCTCTGAATTTGCTTTGGTGTAACTGGAAGTGGAAATTAGCTTATCACACACAGCCCAAGATAATAACAATATTGAGAATTATTCTTGGCTGAGAAATCTGGCAGACAGCGTCCCATTCCTGTGTGCAATTCAGACGTAATGCCCTGCTGCTCTCTGTCACGTTTTGTTTACAGCAGTGAAGTGCTGAAACGACATGCTTTGGGACTAGAATGTGTCTTCAAACCCATTCATAACCATTCATGTGGTGATGGAGGAGCAGCCCACAGCTCTGGGGAATGCTGTGTAGGTTTCAGTGTTTCCGTTTGGTCAGGAGTCAGGGTATCGTGCCATCAAGTGATGCTGTCAGGATAAGCAAGGACTGAATTTAAAAAAAATGGTATCTTCAAGGTTCTTCTTTCAAAAGGTGCCTGATACCTTCTGAAGACAACAACATTTTTGCTTGGCTTTTTTTGAACTCATTTTGAATTGTAATGAAAAAAAATCAAAACTCAATCTCACCCTTGGTTAGTGTCCCTCATTATCAGCATGTGAAGATTTTTAAAGGAACTTTGTCTAGAACTTACTTGGCCTTTCCTCCTTCAGCAATCATTGCTAGAAGGCGCCTGTTCTCTCCTCATGAAGTTATTACCTTTCAATCAGGGCAGAAGCATCAGAGGCGAGGCATCTCTGTATATTTTCTTAACATTTTGTATCATCTCTGGTGGAAGAGCTGCTTTGGTGCTGTTCATTTTTGCAGAGGCTGCTGATCTTCCTTTGCTTTGGACTTGGCTCATCGTGGGGAAGCACGTTTCCTTCAACCAGCACAGGAAAGAAAGGGTTTGTGCTCTCTGTATTTGGCACCTGATGGGGTGGGAAGTTCCCTTTTCATTCTTATTATGAAGTCTTCTTCAGACCTTTCTGC